TGATTGGAATTATAACCTTGAATTGACAGTTTGATACTTGAAAAAATTTGAGCCAGCCCTACCCCTAAGGGCTATAGGGTGGGGCTCAAAGGAGTCAGTGTGCTAAAATTTCTTCATTTTCCTTGTTAAGAATCAGAGGTCCTAGTTTCAAATCTTTTTTAGTCTGAAATCTGTATGCTAGATATTGAATAAGGTGGTTTTATTGCTTTTTGTCACAGAATAATATTTCTGTTCATGTTAAAAACAAAATCAACTCTCTGTATAAATATATCAGGTGACCGTTAAGGCCCATGGGCCTCTTGTTATCGTTTTAGAATCCAATTTATATATATATATAAAGTGTTTTGTTCAGGAAGACTTCTTCTTTTCATATCAAAAGTAATTTTTGATATCTCACTTACCTTTCCGGAACTACAGGTGAGAAAAGGTGAGTTTTGTATGTTTTTTGTATTTTGTATGTAATAAAGACAATTTACATCTAATAAACAGTTTGTTATTTATTACCATCACCTGAAAAATAAGTCCAAGTTTCATAATCAAAAGTACTTAGTATTCTTAGTCTGAACTTACCTGTAATTGTACAGGTGTAGTCACAGGTAAAACATCAAAACTTGTGCTGAGCAGACAGTAAACAGCAGTGGAAAGGAAGCATGCAGCCAAGTGAAGAGGATGGTGATTGTTAGTCAATAAGCACATGGTTAAGCAACACACTTGCAAGTCCATAGGTAAAGCAGCAATAAGCACAGGTAAAGTAGCAATTAATTAGCACAGGTAAAGCAGCAAAAAGCACATGTAAAGTAGCAATTAGCACAGGTAAAGTGGGAAAAGAACACATTTACAAGTTTGTGCAGCAAATATACACTATATACAAAAGCAGCAGAGTCTAATCTACTCGTCGCTGTCAGTGTCACTGACATCTTGGTTCTCAGGTATTGGATTGAGAACCCGTCGGTAGTTTGTGTAAGTGTGATATGTCGAGAAACAGTCGGGTACACATAAAGCAACACCACAGTCAACACACATATAACTTGTTTGTTTCCTTTTATGGTTGTCTCCTGCTCCTTTGACATTATAGGCTACACAATTCCTAAGGGGTCGTGCTCTTTTTGCTCCCTGTTTTGCTGGAATAAATGCAGGGAAGTGACGTCCAGTCAAACGACCTAAGGGTTCGGACTGCCTTCCTCGTCTTGTCTTTTTCTCAGCTCCCTCTAGTAGGACATGGACTAGGGACTTCCGGAATTTGAGATGACAACCCTTCTTCGTGTTATTGCCATACTTCCGGTGGAGAATGACAGCGTTTACAAGGAGAAGGTTGAACAGGTGCAGGAATAGCTTGCGCCACCACTTTACAGTCTTTCTGAAGACGTCGTAGTACTGCACCATCTAGTCAGATAGGTCAACTCCTCCCATCTTCTTCACATAGTCGACGATGCAATTGGGTTTCAGAATTGGTGCACCTGCTTTATCTGTTTTGTCTGTGACATAGAGTTTTGCCTCATGAAATGATGTTATCATAAGTATATCACGCTTATCATGGAACTTGACGATTGTCGTGTTTCCTTTCTGGCGATGAATACCCTCGCCCTGACGCATTTTTTTTACCTGAGCAAATACCTTTGGAATCCCTTTCCTGTTTCCTCTGAGGGTCCCACAGATATATGTATCACGCGTGAGCTCAGGAGAGTTGTAGTAGTTGTCGAGAAAAACCTTGTAACCCTTGGACAAAAGTCCATGTCTAGCTAACAAGCCTACAACTGTTTTTGTGGTGATGGTACAGTCGTCATCTAAATCGACTGCGTCGGAGAAGTCGCAGCATCCAGATTTCCCGTCGTAGATGTGAAAGCCAACCATGTAACCAGATTTTGCCTCACAAACTTCATACAATTTGATACCAAATTTGTTTGGTTTCATTGGATTGTAGACCCTAAATCTAACTCTACCCTTGAAGGGACATGTACCCTCATCAAAGCTGAGGAACTCTCCAGGAGTATAAACCTCACTGAAGTTCCCCAACATTGTTATAAATGGCCTAAGTTTGAAGAGAGGGTCATGACCTACCTGGCCATGGGGCACGTGAAGTGAATTGTCAACGACATGCAAGTTGCTTAGAATAGAAAGAAAGCGATTTTTAGACATATATTTACTAAATAATGGCGTTTCAACTGCTTCATCTGTCGACCAGTAGCTTTCTAAGTCTGTTTTCCGTGTAAGTCCCATGGCGATCACCAGAGCAAAAAATATCTTCAGCTCCTCTACCGTAGTAGGCTCCCATCCATTTAAACGACTGTGGGGTTTTAGGGGGGTGGCATTGATTTAATCTGATGCATATCTGTTTGTTTCTGTTGTAAGAGTTGTCCACATATCGTCGTCAAAAAGAAGAGAGAAAAAATCAATAGGGTCGCCGTCACCTGGAATATCTTTAGTCAAACCGGGCCGTCCCATGAATGGGGCATTTACTGGAGGTATGGTGTGTTTTACTCAACCATTGTCGTCGTCTTCGGGAATGTCCACGTCTTTATTGGATTGATCAAAGTCAATTTCTCGTAGAATTTCTGCGTCATGTAGTAAGTCTTCTGGTCCAAATCCCTCAAAGTCTTTGTCGCTGTCGTCACTGTCAAATATATCGTTGATGATCTGCAGTCGTTCGTCTTCTGTCAGTTCGTCGTCCGCCATCTTTTCGCGCTGTTAACAAAACCTTGAAACTATGCTCTCGAGGTCACGGTGGATTAGTTTATAAATAAAATTAAGGTATAAAGTAATACGTCATCGTTTCTAAGTAAAGCTAGGAGTGATTTTCTCACCACAGTTCCGTACTCAAAACGGCAATCCCTGAATCGACATATGCCGCGCTCGGCAGTAGTAGGCATGTTTTACGGAACGACATATGCCGCGCTTGGCAGTGGGAAACGGGTTTATATAAACGACATATGCTGCACTTGGCAGGAAAAGGGTTAATTATTATTTATTTTCTTTTTTCACTTGTGGAACCATACAGCAATTGTAGCAATAAGATTTTGATTTTTGATGTTGTCTTGCATGTAACCATAAACATGGTCAAAAATTGGATACTGTGTCCATTGACCTCGAGGTTCACTTTGTCTTTTGGCTTTGGTGAACCAATTCTTAACAAGGTATGTATGGTCGAAAGATGGCAAGCAAACCAGTCAGATCTAGTGCAATCTTGAGATTTCTCTTGTGAAACCAATTTCTATTATAAATACTTACCACAGTCATTATAATGCATATTCCAACCTTACTTGGCTCTTTACATACGTAAATAAAGAATTTTTCCCCCCA